TCTATCTATCTATCTATCTATCTATCTATCTATCTATCTATATATATATATATATATATATATATATATATATATATATATATATATATATAACTTTTAAAAATAACATCGTGATATTTATTTCATTAGAACTGAATATTCGATCCCAATTCTTAAAACACTCAACCAGAACATAAATTATGTTGAATATGCAGATTCAAATTTTAGTGGGGGTAGAAAGAAAGGGTATGTATTCAGAAAGGCAGAAGGTAAAGGAGGGAACGGTGAAAATATTCAAAACTAGGAAAGGAAGAAAGATTTATTTAATTTGTTCAAAAAGATAGTTGATGTTGTAGACGTGCTGACCTAATTTTAGATACACAATGCGAAAAGGAACAGACTTCTTCAGATGGTAAGGCGAAATAGACAGAGAAAAAAGAAAGGAAAGAGAAAGAAATAGAAAGTTAACTCAATGGACGTCTGGAGAAACTGGCAAAGTATGTATATATCAAAAATATCTTTTGTCTGGTTCATGTAATCAGCCATATTTATGACACATTTTAATTAAAAAAATAATACTAATATTAATAATAATGTTGGAATTCTTGAATATATATATATATATATATATATATATATATATATATAATTTTTCAGAAAATTGGATTTTGATTAAAATGAATCAAATTAAAGAAAAGAATATGCGTAGTATTAATAATAATAATAAATAATAATAACAATAATAATAGTGATATAATTATAATAATATTAATAATAATAAAATATACAGAATAAATCTAATAAAGTTTATTAAATATATATATATATATATATATATATATATATATATAAAGATATAAAGATAACTAAGTTACGAAGAAAACTATGCAATTATATATCTAGAAAAACAATATGTGTGTGTGTGTGTGTGTGTGTGGGTGTGTGTATAATATCAATACCTTGCATATGTGGTACTAATTCCGAAAAACTATTTCTTCCTCCTCTTTTATTTTTAACTATCTACATAGTGATAATATCCCGAATAACAAAAATAGATGTCTAATTGAGCAGATAACATAATAAGCCAATGCACATATATAAATACACCCACACATGTGTACAAATATACACATAGGCATATACATATACACATACACACACACAAACACACACACACACACACACACACACACACACATATATATATGTGTGTGTGTGTGTGCGTGTGTGTACTGTACATACATATGACATACATAAATGCAAAAATACACACATACACATATATACACACATGTATATATATTTTCTTACACACGTAAATACAATATAATCATATATAAATAAATATATATTCTATATATACTTCAAAATCATGTTAGAGACAAATATTTATACATAACTCGACACACAGATATGCACATATACATATTTATTAAAGACATATTTTTATGTTTAACGTTGTTATTTCATAGATACAAGTATTTAAGCAAATGCTCTGTTTATGATAAACAGTATTAAATAACATTTACCGGCCTGAATGTCCGAGAAATTTTCATAGAAAATTTTCGTTCTTTTGACAGGATACGAACCTGCATCCTATACGGAACCGTCATATACGCTGACGTGCCTTACCGCTTAAGCTACAAAGAACCAATCGGTAGACAAGGTCGAATTTACTGCTTATAAACTCCAATTTTCCATGAATCTCGTACATTCATAACTGCTCTGGCGTATCGAATGTAAACAAATGACGTCATATATTAAGAAATGGACAAGGCCCGACAATTTATTTATTAAAGACATATTTTTATGTTTAACGTTGTTATTTCATAGATACAAGTATTTAAGCAAATGCTCTGTTTATGATAAACAGTATTAAATAACATTTACCGGCCTGAATGTCCGAGAAATTTTCATAGAAAATTTTCGTTCTTTTGACAGGACAAGGTCGAATTTACTGCTTATAAACATCAATCTTCCATGAATCTCGTACATTCATAACTGCTCTGGCGTATCAAATGTAAACAAATGACGTCATATATTAAAAAATGGACAAAGTCCGACAATTTATTTATTAAAGACATTTTTATAAAAAAGAACGTTAAACATAAAAATGTCTTTTAATAAATAAATTGTCGGACTTTTGTCCATTTTCTAATATATGACGTCATTTGTTTACATTTGATACGCCAGAGCAGTTATGAATGTACGAGATTCATGGAAGATTGAAGTTTATAAACATATACATATATAACCCCATATATACATACATATATATATATATATATATATATATATATATATATATATATATATATATATATATATATATACACACATACACATGCATATATATACATACTTACACACCCACATATACACAGACGTACAGGTACACATATACACACACTAGCACATAGATACATGTATACAAATATGAATTCAAATCATAATAAAGTGACTTCATGCATTAATACATGTCATTGTTATACCAGATGTTAAAGTTTTCAAGGATAATTTTTCCAAGAGAGAAGTTGTTTCGGATTTTGAAGCGATGTTTATGTCTGCATTTGAATATAAGTTCATTGCGATGGTTCACTAATTCCTCCGGGTTATATTTAATTATAAATAGTTTTTTCTTGAATACAGAGATCACATCGGTCACTGAAGTTGTTAGGTGTTCGAACCCTAGATATAATTTTCCATTCCAATTCCGGTGTCAACTAGATCCCAATGGTATCTGGATAGTGCTGTCTGTTATTTTCAAGGATTTATTATTGAAGGAATGTCGGTGGTTATACAGGCGTTGTTTCCAATTTCCCGCAGAGATTCCAATGTAAATTTTTTTAGGGTTACATTTCCCTTAGGAAAGATAGTAGCCTCATATACCACATTTTTGGATATACATTTTCTTCCTAGAGGACATTCCGTTTTAATCCTACAATTACAGGTGAGATTATCCACTTGTACATTATTACTATGAAATTTCTTAAGAAGTCTGTTGTTGTGGGAACTCATGATTTTCTCCACATTATTCACGCAAGAATAACTGATCTTTAATGTTTTTCTATTGAAGATTTTCTTCAATGTATTCCTGTTGATTTCGACATAGGGGTTTAAATAATTTCCAATAAGTCCTGATACAACTCGTGGATCCTTCTTATACGTTTTCAAAAGCTGTTTGTGCGTGTTTGTGTATGTGCTCGATCCTTCCGTAGAGTGTCTTGGCTTATTTGTGAAATAAAACATGGAGTACATTTATGTCAACTGGTGCAGTATTAGTGACATCCATGACGAAGACTTACCTTTCGATTGAGCAAACTGAAGAAATATGAACATCAAGAATAATTTCTAGTTTTGATTTCTATACAAGATAAAGCTATTCAATCGCAAATATCGTCTAAATAATAAATAGATTTCAATACATTAAACAATCTTATCGATAAATGAATCCCCTCCCATAAAATTATATATTTACGCAGCAATATTCTTTTATACATGTTTAATTAAATATGGCAGGCAATCTATCTATCTATCTATCTATCTATCTATCTATCTATCTATCTATCTATCTATCTATCTCAGTCTGTTCGTATCTATCTATCTATCTATCTATCTATCTATCTATCTATCTATCTATCTATCTATCTCAGTCTGTTCGTATCTATCTATCTATCTATCTATCTATCTATCTATCTATCTCCTAGGAACTGTAGCCAAAGCCCGCTCAGCATAGTTGCAGTATAAACCACAGGTGGGCTCTTTCGGTGTTGAACAGACACAAATGTATCTGAGCAAGAGTCTACAATAGGGATTGGCTATCCGCTTTCGTAAAACCGTATATTCCAGTAGTCAACCATTATACATACACACACACGCATCCACACACACCCACACACACACACACACACACACACACACACACACACACACACACATATATATATATATATGACTATAATTTGTTTATTGAGAAGATTTAAGCTAAGTATTGTTGAGTTAATTGATTTATTGGCATTTTAAAAATAAAACGTCATATTAGCTTGAGTTTTATTTCGTAACTAGCTCAATAGTAAAATTGACGGAATAACCTGGGACATGACTCATAGAAGCAGTTCAACAGATAATTGAAAACAACACAACAATCTTTCTCTCTCTCAATTTTATATATCAACTTCTTCTCTTTCAGAAGTGTCTCTATCGATAATATAAAAAGTGTCAGCATATACTGAGTATGCCATAACATCTCTCTTGAGAAACTTGATCACTAAGCAAAGTGCGATATGCAAACTTAACATATTTTCATTGTGTCCCTGCTAATTTTCGTCCGATTTTGGTCGACAATGCAGTAATTGTCTACCATTCCTACTAAAAAAAATGGATTATAGATTATGGAGGCCCTTTACATTAAATGGTACCACTCCATTATTAATAAAATTTATTTTACTTTCAGTGTTCATGTGTTAAAATGCCTTTAAACTGTTAAGTCATATTTATGACGTGATTTCAAAGTCTATTCACAGTCATATTATGAAAAACAATGTTCATTTCAAAATATAAAACGCAATTCTGTTTCTGGAATTTCAATCTCCCGTCTTTAAATATCAAAGCAAAAAAGTTTCCTGTGTTGTGGTAAAACTTATCAGAGACCAACTGACTGGGTGGTCGGACGTTATTTCTGTTAACCTTATTTTTTTTTTTATTTTTGTCATTTGAAAAAACAAAAGAAGATTTATTTCACAGGACCGAAAGGGTCTTTAATTGAATTGTCCCAACTAGAATTTCCTGAAATAGCACAACCTAGCATTAAAAACAAAAAACTCAACCTGTAATTAGATGTGGTCATTGGTATTGAAAGTGACATGCCGATCAAATTTCGAGGTTCAAATTCCGGCCGAGGTCGTTGCGTTTACTTTCGCACAAATACACTTGGTAAAGGTATGGACCCATTTATTCTCCCTCTAGCTATGGGTTAAATAGCAGAACAGACTGGGATTTTAAGCTTTGATTAACAATCAAACCTAGGAGAAGGAAAGCTATAAATTCAAATCCGGTCCAGTAAATGTCTGGCAACTCCACTCCATAAAAAGACTACTAACTTAGGTTGGTTGATTTTTTTTAGTGGCATATTAATACTCTATGGAATATTTAATGTCGAAATCTAAATATTTTGTACGTAATTTTTATGCTTTTAGGGTAAAGGTATGTTTTTAGATATATAGTTTGAAAATCATAACACTGAAAATTTTCTTTTAAATGTATCGCTGGTAATTTCATTACAAAAATGTATTGTTGGTCATTTTACAATAAAAATGTTTTGTTGATTTTTGTTTGGGGGTTTACTGTTTGTCCATGGCTGGTACCCTAACAGGTGTTACCACTCTGGGTCAGAGTGAAGCTGGGAATAACAGCAATTAAGAGATGGTTTTCACGCTCCTTAAATCATCCAATCTCGCGATCAGATGTAGTTTATCGTCATACTCAGGAAGAACTTGCTACGGAAAACAACAACCCTGGAGTAAGAAGGACGGGTATAAAGGTGCAACAAACCGCCAGGAGAGCGGTGATGTTCTGATAAAGAAAGTATTTTTCGCGTTGTATAGAAGAGCCGATGTTTTTAAAAACCCTGCCTTGTAATAAACACTCATTTGGTCGAATCTGATTGTTGACCGATGCGAGGGGAGTAGTGCGGCAAACCAACAGAATATATCAAAAGACATTTCATCCTCTCTGTAAACCCGGGACTGAAAGAAGCCGGTCATTTTTGTACACTGAAGACCGACGTTCTGGGACTGTATAGAGACTGGTAACCTTTGTTGTCGTGGAAGAAGAAAGAAAAACCCGACTATAAAACAGTCGTAAAAATGGTAATGGTAATATTAGCCGTTTCCCTATAAGGAAACATTTGGAATTCATTGAACAAGCAGTCAGTACAGCTTTCGGTTAAAATTTATAAAGTTTTACTCTTAAAACAATTTTTCAAGAAAACAGGTTTCTCAATTTCAGTAGTTGTTATAGCCCTTTCCAACGAAAATTGCAATATGAGCTCTGGTAAAAAAAACATGCAATGATAACACCAAAAAATGCAATATGAGCACTGGTAAAAAAATTGTTGCTGAAGATATTAAGTTTATAAGTCCCAGAAATTCATACACGGGTGTCCTTAACGACACGTGGCACAGTAGATAAAGGCGTTGGTTAGATCTAGTGACATAAAAGAGGTGTGAGTTCAATACCTGCTTAAGAAGGCAATGGTGAACGCGGTGAAGTAGTGTGCAATGTTAATAAAGGAGATAGTAATGACATTCAGTGGCCAAGTAACCGGTACTGCTTTTGGTTGAAAAAACGACTAGGCATTGGGGTACAACATCATTTCCTCCTCACCCTAGATTTCTCTAAAGGTAATGGTACCATCAGAAAATAGATAACGAATTGTGAAAAGGTAACAGAAATATACCTTCCTCAGTGAGATAAGCCATGGACATGTGCAAATAAAGTTAAAGATGACCTTCCGCAACTTCAGAACCAAGAAACCATGGAGGAAGAATGTAAAAGATTACAAAATTTTTCCTCAGGTGCAAAGATTTTTGGCTGTAGTCAGAACTGGTTGGAGCATGCGGGAAATTTAGATTATTGTTGGAGGAAGTAAATAAAGTTTTGTGAATGTCGCCTTCGCTGTCCGACTGCAACAATGAAAAACGAAAGCAGTTGAAACAATATCGTTCAGGGAGTGTCCGTACATTTATTCGACTCACCCAATATAGGACAGTAAAGTTAACCTATCCAGGGAATACCGTGGGAGGATTTTCACAGGACATCACCAATGAAACTAAAATGAGCTAAAGTCCACGGAACAATCTAATCAATGTTCACAAACCCGGTGTGTTTTTCTGAGCTAAGCAACAGGATGAATCTTGGCATTCAAGTTAGCTACGTTGAATGGTCGAGGGTTGAATTCTCAATATAAATGGGCTAGATTCATTTGCGGTAACCAGCACCTTCATGTAGATAGATGTCGTGTGCAAGAGACCCATTTTATTGTAAGTTTCCATGAAAATTATATGCCTAAAAGATTTCGCCTTCTCTCAGTCTATTTTGATATGTTCCTAGTCATTCAAGAGGTGTCTCTTGGCAAATCGGAGTGCAACCTGTTCTCAAGTAGACTATATGTACTGGATTTGACCATAAAATGAAGCATTTCATTTCGTAAGATTTAATTCAACTAACGACAACAGAGAGCAGCCTTCTTATTTCGCCGGATCGCCCCCCCCTTCGTAATATCGACAAAGTAACTAAATGACGTCCTTGATCCTGATCTAGACTGCGGGGGCGTCAGGAAGAGTACTAACATAATTCCGGATATAAAAATATTTCTTGAATTTATGGCCACAGTTGATAAATTCCTGATGTGATGGAATAACCTGTCACCCCCATTAGTGACTACACTATAGGTAGTAACTGCTTTATAAGTATCTGTAAGTCAACGGACTACAGAGACAAGCTGGAATCTGATACTCAGCTCTTAGCTGCTGTCGAACTCTCTACCTTTGTGCAGAGAGGAACCCGGACGAGGCTATGCCGAAGAGCAGAGTCTCATTCGGGGAGCTAGACATACCCGAACCAGTTTATGCGGGATTTACAGGTAAATTTTGGCCGAGCCTATAGGCTTGGATTGCCCCACATTAAATTCGGCCTTGTGCCACATCTTACTTCGTGGGGAGGTTGGTAAATATTACTAGCTGGGATCTGTTGAGTACGACTCAGACTTACGCTAGAACTACCGACCTTCCAATAGTAGCACTCACTACTGGATTTACTTGCGACGACCTTGTGCATAACTGTTACATTTATTCTTATTGTACTGGTTCATTACAGTAAACCTTTATTCATTTTAGCCACCTTGTTTATCAAGTATATATTCCTATTAGCACGGAATATAAGACAGAGGTTCAGCTAGATCAACGGAATATTAGTTAGGAGAGTCGACTTAGGACTTTAAAGTATCCAAGTTTTCACAGTATAGTTTTTTTCGGACTAGTATATAGCCTAGTTAGGGTTTGAATAAACTTACATAAACCTAAACCTTGAACAGCTGATGTTTGGAAATGCTTGTTGGATGTGAAAGGATTCCGGAACCAGCTATCACTAACGTTTACGGAGATGTGGTTGGAAATAAGTGGTAATACCGCCTCAAAAGTAGGATTAGGTCTTCTGCTGCCGACTAAAATCGCCCACTTGATCGAATAGCTACACAAACGATATTCGCACATAAAGGAAACCGACGTTAAATAAGATGTACCGTAAAGCAGAAATGTCTTCTTTGTCGAACAAGAAGGACCAGGATCTGGTAGTTACAACCAGCTTAAAAAGAACGTCTGCCTCGACGACGAACATGGCTGAAAAAATGAATGCAAAATAACTCTAGGATCCAGATCGCCATACAGTCAGCGTCATATTACCGGATGGACATTTGTCTTGAAACAAAGGTACTTATTTCATGGTCACTAGCAGATTTTTTTATTACCATGGATCCAGGTCTGAATCTAACGCCTATATAGTTGACTTTAACTCTTCCAAGGCGCGGAAAGGATCAGGATGTACTAGACACCTGGAATCGATCTTCCTGATTCTCATGATTGATTCCTTGCTTCCCTTCAGATATTTCATAAAGCAAAGTTGGTCAAAGCTTCACAAGGTCTGTAGTAAA